AAAGCAATATTTCCATACCCTGAGAGAGTGAACCAACTGACACGGAACTGCCTTAAGCTTCAGCTTTGCTGCCAGACTCCTCTCTTTTTTGTTTCTTTTTTCCTCTTCCACACCAAATGTTGAATGGCACTGTAGATGTTGAGAATGGAGATTTATGCGAGGGAATGCTGTTTCTTTTTTTCTCTCTCTCTATCTTTCTCCCAGTGCAAACCCTCTGTAAACATACTTAATAGACAATGGAGATTTTAGCACTTGCTAACTTACCTTTTTAAGCGTAATATGCATGCAGAAGAAACGAAGAGGAACGAGGAGCATCTTTTTGCAGGAAGCAAACAGTGGTCTGTAACAAGCAGCAACGTTGCTGACAGGCCATTATTTTAGCTCCCTCGGAATCGGGATATCTTGACTTACTCCGGCAACCGTCTGTCAATATCACCCTCCTTGGATATATTTCTGCAAACAAGTGGAAAAATTGCCTGCTGGGACTGTTGTAGCCTGAAGGTAGAGACAAGGGCTTGTGACCAGAAGGCTGAAAAAAAAGGAAGTTTCTGGACGAGAGAAATGTGGTTAAACGGTGATTGAGTCATACTGTGCAATCCCTCGAGAACCAATATCTAGGGCTCTTTAGCAAGGCACTTAACCCAGTTTGCCCAGTGCAGCTACAGTGGGAAATATTGGACTTTGTTCTTGAGCTCCATTGGTGAATGTGCTTTAAATGTGAGGCAGGGTGTAAAAAAACAACTAAAATGAAGCATCTACAGTAGAGTTTTCTAAAAAAAAACAACCTTTCATGGATAAATAAAGGGTTTCAAAGGAAAACAAAAGCATCTCGACTCGCGACCCTTTATGCTGGATTCAGCAAAATAATATACAGTGTGGCTTGAAAGACTCGTCGGCCGTGCCGACTATATTTTGACAGCTGGTAGGCAACAATGCCTTTTTCCTTACTTTTAAAAATTCTCTTACAGGCCCTGCAAACGCACACTTCTATTCTTACTGACATAACCCAAAGTTTATTATGACAGTTAGAGAATGTATTTATACTCAGTTGCAGTGGAAAGTGCTTCAAAATAATATAATTAACACAGACTTTATAGCAACAAATATAAAGCAATTAACAGTTTAACTGAGTCCCCCAACAACGAGTGAACCAGCATCTTATAGACCTGTCACATCTTCCAGACTCATGCAAACCAATGCATCTGCACTTCTATCAGATCATCTTCCACCTGAAGCCCGCTTGTGCTGCTTAATGTACAACTTTCATCACTTCTTCCTCCGTGACCGCAGTGGGAATAAAAAAAAAAGCTGATATATTAACTTTGCACTTCGTAGCCAGAAACGTTGAAAATTGCCTGCGCAGCATATCGGTTGCATCACTCTGCGTATGTTTGTGACTTTGACTTTGCTTACAGGCATTAAGAAATGATTGGAGGAAGTGAGAGGAGAAAAAACCCCAAAAAAAGGCACTTATAATAATATTTCTTGTATGCCTTACGGAGATCCACAGCAGCCTTTTTCATTTTCTTGTTAAGACAACACACTCAGATTGAGGGGAAGCAACTGGAATTTGCTTGGCAGCTGTAGTGATTTTGAAAACATGAAGGAATAAGTGTGTCAAATGGCACAGAGCAATGGGATCTTTTCTGTTTGCAAAACTGCTTTAAGGACTGAGAACCTACAATGCAAAGTCCCGTAACGTGGTAAACACAATGTGGGCCTAAAAAAAAAAAAAAAAAACGTTTTCCCCGCCAATACAGGATCCAACATGATGCAACGCCTGTCTCTGACTACATATTCAAAATGACGCATTTGGACACAAAATACACAAATCGATTGATGTGGCATTGAGGCTTAGCCACGGGGATTTGTCCACATGTAATCTCGTATAATATCAACAACTCATGCTCGTTTTTTCTTAAAAAATATTTGTGCTCGTATTTATTCTTCATTATGATACAGCGCTCAACAGGTCGGCTCGGAGCGCCGGGACTACAAGTTTCTGGCTTATGTGACACATGATGGAGACGGATTACGGAGGTCGGCTGAGAGTGCTCTCCCCGGTGACCAAGCCACGCCGCGGTCCAGCAGACTCATTACAACCGGTCACCACGGGTTTCCCTCATGCATGAACTTCTAATTGGACCAAATAAATTGGTGGGGATTTTTCAGTGTAGAAAATGGGATGGTGCCGGAGTCCAATACTCTATTGAACCCATAATGGGAATCATTCATCATGCCTATGGTATGTGACCTCCACCTTTTGTATGGACTGCTTAATATTCTACCTGTATTACATGGCTCAGAGTCCTCCACATTTTGTTCTTGAGCTGTTCTTAATTTCAGAGCGATTCACAGGGCAAGCGGGGCCAGGGGTTAAGGCCGGGGGACGGCATGATTTCATCACTACACATTTCCATTTGTCCATCGTTGACCGGGTGTGGTGGATTTACATGAGTGGCAGCCGTATGTCTCACTTTACCACACTGGATTTCAAGCCCTGCAAACAGATTATGCCATAATGTGAGGAAAAGATCCATATCTTGTTCCATCAATAAATTAATTTTACGTTATGAATTTCATTAACATCTTTTGCTCACTTGAGACCAAAAAACATTTTTTTGTCTGCATTGAGTTCTTGCTAGCAAGAATATTTTTTTGTGCAGGGTATGAATATATTTACTGAACCCCCACGCCGATGTTGATGTGTCTGCCGGAAGATATTTTGCCATAGAGGACCATTGTACGCAATGTTAGCAATAAATTATCAATGCATGAGAATGTTCAGTATAATTTCTGCATCAGTATAATGAGGTTTCTTGATTTGTCACGTATTTAATTAGCTGACAAGATGTTTCCAATCTGGTTATTTTATCCATAAATAGTTCTCAATTTAATTTCCAGAATGCTAACTATATTACAATATTGTTGAATTAAATGGCCAGCAAGTTATACTAGATCTAACTCTTTTAAGAATTTTATTAGTTTCAGTTTATTTTTCTGAGATGTTTTATGCTGTTTGAAATACTTATTTTAGGAAGTTTTTAGTTCAGAAAGCTATGTAAGTTATCCGGTTGTAGCTCAATGAAAAAAAAAGATGCATTAGTTTGTATGTTATTGGACCAACGTATTCTCATACAACGTTTCGTATGATATACGAAAAAGTTTCTCCTCCTTTCCTTTGCACCTTTTTCCTTTTTTTGTGCATCAATTTCCGCTTGTTACATGCATACAGTCTTTTCAAAATAAACTTCCGTCTTCACAAATCATTTTGTTAGGAAAAGATTGTGAAATACTTTGTTAGGTTCAGGAAAAGATCGTGAAACACTTTGTTAGGTTCAGGATAAGATCGTGAAACACTTTGTTAGGTTCAGGATAAGATTGTGAAATACTTGGTTAGGTTCAGGAATAGATCGTGAAACACTTTGTTAGGTTCGGGAAAAGATCGTAAAATACTTGGTTAGGTTCAGGAAAAGATCGTGAAACACTTGGTTAGGTTCAGGAAAAGATCGTGAAACACTTGGTTAGGTTCAGGAATAGATCGTGAAACACTTTGTTAGGTTCAGGAAAAGATCGTGAAACACTTGGTTAGGTTCAGGAATAGATCGTGAAACACTTGGTTAGGTTCAGGAAAAGATCGTGAAACACTTGGTTAGGTTCAGGAAAAGATCGTGAAATACTTGGTTAGGTTCAGGAAAAGATCGTGAAACACTTTGTTAGGTTCAGGAATAGATCGTGAAACACTTTGTTAGGTTCAGGAAAAGATCGTGAAACACTTTGTTAGTTTCAGGAAAAGATCGTGAAACACTTGGTTAGGTTCAGGAAAAGATCGTGAAACACTTTGTTAGTTTCAGGAAAAGATCGTGAAACACTTTGTTAGGTTCAGGAAAAGATCGTGAAACACTTTGTTAGGTTCAGGAAAAGATTGTGAAATACTTGGTTAGGTTCAGGAAAAGATCGTGAAACACTTTGTTAGGTTCAGGAAAAGATTGTGAAACACTTTGTTAGGTTCAGGAAAAGATCATGAAACACTTTGTTAGGTTCAGGAAAAGATCGTGAAACACTTGGTTAAGTTCAGGAATAGATCGTGATACTTTGTTAAGTTCAGGACAAGATCGTAAAATACTTTGTTAGGTTCAGGAAAAGATCGTGAAACACTTGGTTAGGTTCAGGAAAAGATTGTGAAACACTGTTAGGTTTAGGCAAAAAACTACTTTTTTAGTTTTGGGAAGAGATCATTGTTTGGGTTAAAATAATGACAGAAGTGGTGTCACTTAAGTAGACTATTTTTTATAATACCACAATAATACATCCTACTTTATTATTTAGTAGTATTAGTGTTATTAGTTTGGTTAATTAAAAGTAATTTAGTTTTTTGTTTCATTTTCATTGTTCATGTTCGAAGAACTTAAGAACCTAACCTTGTTTTCAGTTTGAATGACAGAGCCCCATTAGTGATGGCACCTTAAATCTATCAGTGTCTCTCCCTGACTTCTGACTTCGCTCTCTCTGAACTGTTAACCCCTTGAGTGGTTTTACTTGCCACGTTGACCCCTTTGTCGGCCACTCTTTAAGCTGAATGTTGTGCTGCATCTCCACCTATCAGACTACCGGTAGTAAACAGGCAGGATGAAATGAATGGAGTGGTGTATTTTTTTTGTTTGGGGGGGGGCAACCGGCACCAAACAATGACAAGAATGCCTCTCACACCAATAGCTGATGCTCAGCGGCCGCTGACATCATATCAGTCCCACATCTCCTTCTCTTGATTTCCGCCCCACCCGCTCCTTTCCATTAGCGAGTCGGTCCGTGTCCCTGTGTTATTTAAAGCCAGAGATCCTCCCTCTTCGCCCGAGCCCCTGCATTGCATTTGTCTGCCTCGCCGCTTGTGTGTCAGCGTGCGCCTGTGTGTGTAGGAGAGTGTGCTAATAAAACCCAGGCGGCCAGTGGGAGAGCTAGAGAGTCAGGGAGAGAGAGAGAGAGAGAGAGAGAGAGAGAGAGAGAGAGACACACACACACGGGGGGGGGGGAAGGCAAAAAGCATCTGAGAAGGGAGAAGGAACGGGAGTGTGAGACAGCTATGAAATTCATCCAAGCTATCTGCTTACTGCTTTTCTGTCCAGCTTTGAGCCTCAACACCAGGTAAGAGATCAATGAGGGGGAAGAGGTTTTGTTGTTTTTGTCAGTTTCACCCGGCTCGAGACTCTGGAACAAAAGAGGTGTATAGGTTCTAAAGCGTGCTGTTGGCAATCTTAGATCCCTAATCTGAAGGTCCGTCCTGCCAAATGCTGAAATCCGTCCGGGGCAGAGGCTCAGCATGTTGGGGGACTGAAAGACTTGAAAGGAGGAAGCAAGAGCTTTTTTCTTCTTTATCTATTCAACTATAGGCTATTATCTTTGTTAGTTCTGTGCAGGATGAGAGACAGTTGTCCTTTTGTGGCCGCACTGAATGCGATGCCTCCCTCCTGAATAGTGGTGACATTGCTTTTTTGGGGACTTTTGCTGCCTGCTGGTCTGGTAGGGCAGCAAGTTGAAGTCGAGGGGGGAAACCGGGAGGAAGAACAAGGCTACTTGTGTTGCAGTGTCTTGAAAAAGAGCAGGTGTGTGTGTGTCTCCATCTATATCCATATGTGTGTGTGTGTGTGCGTGGGATGTAAGGCTTTGGAAGAGTGATGGGCAAGGAGACTGAATAAGAGGGAACGCGAAGAATGGGGAGAAGGATGATTAATTAAATCATTGATAAAATCATCCTTCTTCTCCACCAGTGGCTGATACCAGTGCCTTAATGGAAACCAAGGCTTTGACTCTGCCATGGAGACATCACACGCAGGGAGGCATGCCTTAGACAACTTGCCTTTTCCTGTTTCTCCTCAGTGGACCCCAAAAAAACCCAAACATTTCGGATTCTGTTTTAATCTTTTATGAGGGGAATTAGCTGAACGCAGTTCCTGAGGAATGCGAGAACGATGGCTTTTAACTCTGTTAAATAGAGAAAAAACAAATTTTCCTCCATAGTGGCCAAACACATGGCTGGCTACTATGTGAGTTCTTTCTTCTGCCTCATGATTGAGAGAAGATAAACGTTTGCAAAGGAAGAAAACAAGGTTATTCCCTACATCCTACTCATTTATCAATGTCAGATATAGGCACATTGATGAAGTATGAGTCATATAACTAGGGGCTGTATTGACGTGTTAACCTTTAGCAGTTTGTAGTCAGTGAATTAAGCACTAACACACCTACACTTTTAATGCTCACATACATAAAGAACCTTCAGGCTACAGCTTTGGAAACGTCCAGCCCGTCTTGTTGTTTTGATTGTGCACACGGAGAAGCTACCTTTCTTTTGAAGCTATGGAAGTAATAAAGCGCTCGTTGATGTTGGATTTATTAAAAGACAGTCTGTGTCCGGGGGTTTATTTTTAAATTGTGTGCAGGCATCATCAGCACTTCGAGGTGATCTTTCGGGCACTAATTGGAGAGGGAGGCATTGCGCTGGTAATTTGGCAGGTCAGCACAGATTGTATGCTACCTCTTGGGGGGTGGGGGGGGGGGGGGGGTCATGAAAAGTAATTACCATATCCAGTCTTTTACTAGTTTGTTTCTTAACTCCACTCAGAAGGCTGTATTTTGTTAAGGGCATAGGGGGTGTACCAGGCAACGGTGGTACCTCTCTGACCTGAAATAGGGAGAGAAAAAACGTGCCAGATTCTGCAAAACAACATCTGCCTCATCTGCCCACAGGAAGCACAAGCTATGACCAGCTAATCTTAAAATGTTGTGATAGGGAAAATAATTACAACAATTTGGGGGAATTCAACTAATGAATATGCTCTGATTACAAGTGAAACAAGAACGTTTTTTATTTATTTATTCATTTTTTTACATCTCTTCATCTGTTGATTGAGCTCCAGTCACGTTTGAGGCTGTAATTTGGGGTATTAAATATTCATGTGTTTTCCGGAGCTTGTTCTGTGGAGTTTTCTCAGTTGTCATCAAGAAAAAGAAAGGAAAACTAAAACCTTGTAGTTGGAATTTTTACACTCAGACTGACAGGTATATATATATATATATATATATATATATATATATATGAACTTCACACTCGCTACTCCAACAAGTTCTACGGCTGTTGTCCAATCAAACGGCATATTGACAGTTTGTTTCCGGAAAGCATTGTTTAAGTCAAGCTTGATGTTTCCTTCCACATAAAAGGATGACCCTAAGTCACTTCCACACAGCGAGGCATTCGGCTCATTGATTAAACACTGGTATCAGATCGGTGCTCGTTATTGGCCGATACTCAAAGCTCAGCTATCGCTATCAGGACCCTAGTTTTAATTCAAAGAATTTGGCATCTACAGGGACAGCTAAATGTTATTTCATCACTTCAAGCATCCATGGTTGGATTCAGTAAAAAGGTCAAACTAGTTGATCACTTGTCCTCTCCATCATTGTTCCACTCCTCCTGCAGTGGTTGATATTTCGGCTCCCCTTCAATTACCCGGAATTAGCTCTGCTTTAGTCGGTAATTATCGACTACTTATCCTGCTATATGTTGTCTTTTGATCCAGCACCGCCTTACAGGGGCTCTGCTGGGGACATATAAGATCGGTTTTTTTTTGTTGCTGACAAGGTCAGGTCAGCAGTACACAATTCTAGATATTTGCTACGCTTTGTTTTGAAGGTACCTCATTCCAAACTCAAATTTCAGACATATTTCTTTTCAGATCATCAACACCACAAGCAAAGCTGGGGGAACGCTGCTTTTGAGCCATCCTAACCTTTTGTTTTTGTTATTTTTGAGCCCATTGGTTCCTCAGACTGTCATATTTTTGTCGTTATCCTGGAGGTCGAGGGCTTATCATTTGTGACATCCTCATTTCTTGCTGTAATAGTGTAACGCTGAGCAGGCTGACTGCTAGGTGCGCTCGCAGCAGCAAAATGAATTGTGACTCCAGCTGTCTCGTCCATTGCTCTGCCTCGCTTTGCTCCATTCACTATCATCACATCGGCGGTGCATGAGAGGATCCATTTCATATGTTAACATCTACTGTGGGACCTGATAGAGTCGCCTTAAGGAACGCAGAACTAATGAAACAGGAACCATTCAAATGTGAATGTTTGAATGCTTTGGTCTGCACTTAATTCTGCTTTACAGCCATCAAATCCAAAAGGCTTCTCTAGAGGCTTTCTCCGTGCCATAATGGATGCTGAATATACATTGTGTTTTCACGATCTCTGTAAAATGTACAACATGTTACTTTTGCTGCTCATATAAGTGCTTGATTAAGATGGATTTCATTTTAATGAATAGAGTGGATTACTCATAGGCCACGTAATAAGGGTTCAGGGCTATGTGTCATCACGGAAATCAATTGGCACTCAGCCAGAACACAAGGCCGCCACGACGCTAGTCCCGTGAGGTATGACTGTCCACGTCTGGGTCAGGGTTGCGGGGGGGCTACAACAATAACGCTGCTCTTCTGCATTTGGCTTGTTCTCTCTTCTCCAAACAGATCAAACAGCTCCACAGTCTTAACACTTTTCTAATATTCCCTTTCAGGGCGTTTTCCTGGAACATATATGACACATTTTCTAGACACCGTCTTTGACGTCTCGTACCTTAGCGGGCTCCTCTTGGCAACGGTGATATCTGGTGGGATCTCCACAACATCAAATATTTCTGAGTATTTTGGACGACTATTAAAAGGACTACAGAGAGCCTTGCATTATACATAGAGCGCAGACGCAGCCGTATCGCTTTATCTTAATATCTGCCTGTGGATATGAGCATATTATGAATTAAATGGAGTCTCTCTTTAATGTTAGAGAGTCGGACATGAGAAGGATGATTTTTTATGAGAAGCAACAGTTAATGACGGCGACAGGATTATAATAAAGCCTACGGGGTGTTGCTGACCTTGGGCTGTTTCCTTATACGATAACATTTTGTCATAGCAGTATTAATGTCCTTTTATCCATTCGGGACACTGTCGGCAGTCGCACCAAATATCATGTCATCATTTCATCTCAATGTGGGTAGAAACAGGCCACTATTATTTACGTTTATTCATCACAGAAAGCGTCTGCAAGGATAGAGCGTCTCATTTATGCGACTGCTGAAAGCTGCTCGGCCTCCCCTTCATTCATCACAACGGTGGATGCCTTCTTTTGTCTCAATCCGTCACATGTTCGCTGAGTGGAAAACATTCCGCAGATCATCATTTGCATCCGATCAATACGTTCTCGTGAGTGACGGCGGGTGAATCCAAACATGATGTACAGTGGCGGCGAGAAACTCCACATGATGTCTCGTTGAACGAGCACTCGCGGGGCGGACTTTTGTTTCGCTTTGCACTTCATAATAATGCCGAGAGGAAACATACAGAGTCACAAATATTGTCTCCCGCATCGGGAAACTGAGAATTGACTAGAGGTCGAGCGTGGAACTGATGTGGAATTAGACCTAACTATTGACCAATGTCAATCTATACACTGATGGAGTGTAAATGGTTAGCAGGGTAATGACCAAATGGAAATAATCCGCCTCTTATCCCTGGGCATTGTTTAGCCCTCGGGTGAAAAACAAAAGCTCTCCTATATTTTCTTCCTTTAAGTGCGCCTGTGTGGCCATTCGCCTCGATTGCTATTGAGTGAGAGCCTCCATCGTTATCTAAATGAACTGGTGCTTTATTTATACCCCAAGACATCGTGGAAGCGTGTCTGAGCAGACACCCTTGTGTAAACATTTATGCATTTTGCAGAGCAGCAGTTTGGCGGAAAGTGGTTTAAAGTGTCCGACCGGAGTGACGGGCCACCTTACAAGATGGGCATCTGTTTAATTACCGTGCAAGGGCGACCTCCGAGTGACTTTTAATTTTGCAGCGGCAGCGATCTGTGTCACGATTGGGCCGGTGCAACATAAACCATCTGGATGTGTGGAAGTTAAAAAAAAAAAAAAAATCGTAATAAAATTGGCACGATGTCACATCCGCAGTCTGTATGTCATGCCTTCAAATGACATCTACGGTAAAGCATCATTACAAATATGACTTCCCGTAGTGTGTGGTCTCATCAAGATGGGAGAAAATGATATTTGGCAGCCCGGTAACGTCCTCAGCAAAAAAAATCAGACTGGA